CCTGGGACTAGCTCTGTAGACCAGGCTGGTCTCGAACTCACAGAGATCCGCCTGCCTCTGCCTCCCGAGTGCTGGGATTAAAGGCGTGCGCCACCATCGCCCGGCTGTAAAAGCAGTTTTTTAATTAAAAAAAATAACATGTGGCAGGTGTGAATGTGGGTAAAATGCTTGCTGTACTGGCACCTGTCTAAAAGGCCAGGAGTGGTACTGTGCACTTGTAACCCCAGTGCTGGGGGCAGAGATAGCTGGGCCTCAGAGGGGCTCATTGTTAGCCAGTGCCTCTGAAAGGGCAGACTCTAAGGAAGTGAATGTTCCATCTCAAACAAGGTGTGGAATATGCTATTTTCTTTTGAAAAAAATTTGAAAACTAGGGTTGTCTTCTAGGACTAAGAGATTGATATATATATATATGCACTTTGTTTTTCTCCCAGAATTTTACCAGAGATATCCACTGATAAAATGTACAGTGAAAAAATATTTTCAAAAATAGAAATGAAAATAGTGTCCTATCTGAGTACCTGAAAACAACATATTTGACAGGAGCAAAGGGGCACTGTTTTGTTATCCATAAGAATGTTCTCAATATTAGGCCACAGAAAATTGCCAGTATTTTTTTAAAAGAATTTAAAAATTATATAATTAAGTATATATAATTTGGGGATCAAGAGATGTGTAAATATTAAGAAACCCAGAAACCATAAGTATAGTAAGTAAAAAAGAGAGATGACATAAATATCATAAGATAATGTAAGATAACTATCTGTTCTGTTTGCCATATGTAGTCTGTGTGCTAGCCTACATGTGGAACAGTAGCTAAGAGCCTTTATGTTGAAACAATAGCCTACATAGCCTATTTACCTTTTCTTCGCCTTACAAAGGAAGAAACTAAGGAGTCAATGTTAGAGTAGAGGAATTTGAAAGATGGCTATATTGAACTATTGAGATGACTGAGTGGATCAAAGTACTTGTCACATGAGCCAGACAACATAAGTTCAGTCATGGAATCCATAGTGGAAGGACAGAATTAATTCATGAAAGTTGTCCTCTGGATTGCACATTATTGCTGTGACACGTTCACACCCAGACCCCCCCCCCACAAGTAATTTAAAGGCTAAAACTAAAGAAAAAGATAAATATCTTTTTTATTTTATTTTTCTTTTTCGAGATGGATTTTCTCTGTGAAACAGTCCTGGCTGCCATGGAATTCACTTTGTAGACCAGGCTGGCCTCAAACTCACAGAGATCTACCACCATCTGCCTCTGAAGTAACGGGATTAAAGGCGTGCACCACCACTGCCCAGCTGAGAAAAATGAATATCTTATGGGGAAAATGAGTATTAAAGTTTGAGGAAGAGTCCAAAGACATGGTTAATAGAATTATATTCTAATATTATTATATAAAAATAAAAATAAGGCATTCTGTGTGCTGACCTAGTCTGATAAATGTAGCTCTCATTCCTCATCAGAGCAGCTTGTTTTTACATAAGTTAAGGACCTTTACAAAAAAACCACAGCCGCCTAAAACCTGAAGAATAATTTTTAGTGTAGTGCCCAATTCCAGTGCTGCATTTACATGTACACAAATGTACACTTAAGGAACATTTTGAAAGAAGACTGTAAGAGCCAGAAGACTAGGAAGTCTGCTATGATGTTGTATTTTCTAGCTGTGACAGGGTTGCCACATGAAATCTCAGCAAGATCTAAACAATGATAACACCAAGACGTGTAAAGTAGATGGGAGATTCTCACAAGTCCCCACCCCTAGGTGAATAACAACAGGCAATTAACCACTGCTGAGAGATAAGTCTTCGCCATGAAGAAGTCCCACAATTGGTTTTTCAGTACCAGATAGTCAGCCCTAGAAAATAAATTTTATTTATTAAAAATAGTAAATTATCTTATTTTTGCTGGATAGTGGTGATGTACGCCTTTAATCCTAGCACTGGGGAAGCAGAGGGCAGCAAATCTCTGAGTTCAAAGCCAGCCTGGGCTACAGACTGAGTTCCAGGATAGCCAGGGCTACACAGAAACCTTGTCTCAAACTAATAATAATAATAATAATAATAATAATAATAATAATAATGTACAAATGAATTTTAAATAAATGCCACTCCCTCCTCTTCCTTATAGAGAAGTACAGATCTTCTATGTAAATGGTACATGCTTCCTGAATATATCAAAATCTTTAAATGGATATTCTTTTTGCTTTTTGTTTTTCAAGACATTGTTTCTCTGTAACTGCCTTAGCTTTCCTGGAATTTGCTCTGTAGACCAGGCTGGCCTCAAACTCACAGAGATCCACCTGCCTTTGCCTCCTGAATGCTGGGATTAAAGGCATGTGCTACCACCATCAGACTTAAGTGATGTTCTTTTTTTTTTTTTTTAAAGTGATGTTCTTATGTCTAGAAAATTAACCTAGAGAACTGTTCTATTTAAATAACCACATGTTCACTAAAATATACTTGAAGAATTTTACAGTACCCTAAATATCTATGTACTGGAATTTTTTTTAAGTAATCATGCTTAAAAGATTAATACATATAAAGTAAAATTATGTATTCTGTTAAGGAAAGCTATGTAGAGAGTCTCAAGGCAGCTACTAAATTTGCATTTTTTTAGTCAGACTTGCTCTGTAGATTTACCTGGCTTTAATTTCATGGCAGTCCTCCTGATGTAGCCTCCCAATACTGATTTTACAAATGCTACATACCATGTCACTCCGTCACTCTGTGTGTGTAATGTCTGTGACCCCATTTCTCTGTGTGTTTATATGTGTATGCGTCCAGATTAAGGTGCTTCTGAACTTGGAGTTCACTGATCCTATGAGACTTGTTGGCAAGCATGCTCCAGAGATCTACTTGTCTCTCTCCTCCCCATCCAAGCCATAGGGTTGCATTTCTGCCATCAGCTGGGTGTTGGGATTGAGTCCTGGCTTTCAGCTGCTCTACCCTGCTAGAACCTTCTAGGTGAAGTTACTAGAAGCTGTGCCTAGTTAGAGGATCAGAGGATGGGATTATCACCTGTTGGCCGTTGACCGCAGTGTATTTAAGTCTACATGGTGTTAATAAAGGGGGGCTTTTGGTTTCAGTGTTAAAGGGTTTGCATGTCGGTCTGTCTCTGCATCTGTATTCTCAACCTCCAGCCCCTTGCCCGAAGCTCGCGAACTGAGTTCTAGCTCACAGAGCGCAGACATGGGGGTGCATTGTGCGGCAATCTGTTTTTTTTTTTTTTCCAAAAGTGCTGGAAATTGAAACTCAGGTCCTCATATTCACAGAGCAAATATTTTATTCACTCTGCCATCTTCTCATTCCTGTGTAAACAGAAGTGTCTGTCCTGCCCAGTCCCGAAGCTGTTCAGTCCCAAAGAAACACATAGAGGCTTATATTAATTATAAACTGTTTGGCTTGTTGGTTCAGGCTTATTATTAACTAGCTCTTACAACTTAAAGTAACCCATAATTAACTTAATTTAACCCATAATTCTTGTCTATGTTTAGCCATGTTTGGTTTTTCTCAGTAAGGCATTCTTATGTTCTGCATCTGGCTGGTGACTTTCTGCTTTACTTCCCAAAATTCTCCTAGTCTGGTTTCCCTGCCTATACTTCCTGCCTGGCTGGTGGCCAATCAGTGTTTTTCATAAACTAATACAACTGACATATCTTTACAGTATACAAGAGCATTATCTCACAGCATCACTGATTCCATTTATTCAATCTTTAAAAGATTGCATGATTTATGTGTGTTTATACACCCATATACATTTGAACATGCTATGATGCATGTGTAGAGATTGGAGAACAACTTGAGTTGGGTTTCTCCTTCTACCCTGTGGAGCTAGGAGCTAGAACTTGAGTTGACAAGCTTGGGAGTAGCTTTATCCACTGAGCTCTCTCAGATCCCACTTAATAACCCCCCGTTTTTAAAGTGTATTCCTGTCTTAATAATTTAAAGTATATGGCTATAATTTCATGTGCAGAAAAGTACGTTAAAAAACCATTTTTCAGAGCTGGAGAGATGGCTCAACGGTTAAGAATATTGACTTCTCTTCCAGAAGTCCTGAGTTCAATTCCCAGCAACTTTATGGTGGCTCACAACCATCTATAACGCGATCTGGTGCCCTCTTCTGGCATGCAGGCATACATCTGGGCAGAACAGTGTATACATAATAAATAAATCTTCTTTATAAAAACAAAACATTTTTCAGAATCGTTGAAATACTGTGTCTGTGATAGAAACAAATAATCTTTTGGTTTCTCAGTGCCTACATTCTGATTTTTCCTTTTTCAACTAATGAGGTGATGTAGTTTTTATGCTTGAAAATACAAATGCTCCATGCTGGTTGATGCCAGCTGTGTAAATTAAAGGGCTCTAAGGAGAGTTTGTAAATGCTTGCAAATTGATGGACATATGCTCACCAACTGTTTTCTTTATTCAATTAGGTACTAATGCATCTGCATTTGACCAGCTTATCCTTACACTGGCATGGGACAGAGTTGATATTGCCAAAAATCATGTGTTTGTTTATGGACAGCAGTGGCTGGTAGGTAGATACTTCAAATACATAATATAATTAAATTAGCTACAGTGGACACTTAGTAGCTACAGGTTTTGTATCCATGGATTCCCCCAACCACAAAGTGAGTACTATGTAGTTAGCTACAGAAATATCCTTTCTTATTCCATAATCAATATAGTGTTAACATCTGCTCTATTAAACTCAGTATCTTGAGTAATCTAGAGATAGGATATTTGTGTTACCATAGACAGTGTACATCATTTTGTTAAAAGTTGAGCTTCTGTGAAGTTGGTATCAGAAGAAGGTCCTGGAACTAGTCCCCACTGCAGAAAGGAGTGACTGTAAGTATTTATTGGGATTGTGATTTATACTCAGATTTTACCTTTCTGCCCCAAGTGGAAATATTAGTGAGGTATATTCTCTTAATAACTTTGTTTTTTAAATAATATCTAAGGTATTTTAATAATATATACAAATTCTAAAAGACTTAAAAAGTCTTGGAACTCTTGCTCTGTGTACAGAACTCTCACTGTGACCTGCCTTAGTTTTAGTATGGTTCCTAAGCAGTCCCTCCCTTTACTCTGCATTCATGATTTATCTTTCTACTCTTAGGAAATACATTTTTTAATGGCAAATGTATTTTTTATGTTCCCCTCCCCTATATATGCAATGCCTGTAAAGTGTCTGGCTAATTAAAGAGTAAATATAATGTGTAGAATAGAACAGAGGATCAAAAGGAAAATAGAGTAAGGTTAGAATGTAAATTAATAATGTAACAATTACATGTGATGACAGAAAATAATCCTACTTAAAATAGGAATAACATCCATGATAAATAATAAGCTGTTAATTTAGAAAAATTTACATTCTTGTGAATTTGACCTTATTTTTTTAGTATAACATCAAAATATTTTCCTTGTCACAAAACTGAGTAGTGAAAAAATTTTTTTTAAAAAAGCAGTTTCTGTCTTGAGATTTTATCATATATAGCAAGTATGTGTGGTTACCAAGTAAAGAACATTAGAGGCCAGGCAATAGTGGCACACACCTTTAATCCCAGCTCTTAGCAGGTGAATCTCTGAGTTTGAGGCTGGCTAGGTCTGCAGAATGAGTTCCAGGACAGCCAAGGCTATACAGAGAAACCTTGTCTCAAAAAACCAAAGGGGGGGGGGGTGATCATTAAAAAAAATACATTAGAGATCATACCATCCTTTAAGTAAGGAAAACAGAAAATGAATTGGGGAGTGATATAAGATACTAGAGGGAAACTGCGTAGTTATATGGAAAATGTTTGGGGACGGAATCAAAATACATTTAAGTTTTTCCCCCACCTAAGAAAGGGAATTCACTACACAGACCTTGTCCTTGAACTCAGAGATCCACTTGCCTCTGCCTCCCAAGTGCTGGGATTAAAGACGCCCTCCACCATTGCCCAGCAAGAATCAAAATATTTAAAATAGCAGTATAAAACATTGATTTCCAAATTAATTTTTGCTACAAAGTTCTTTTTAAATATGCAGTGATGAAGTATTAAAGTAGAGCTGGGATCTAGTGTAGCAGATAGAGTACTTGTCTGGTTTGTAGGACGCCAGCCTGGCTTGCACCCAGCACTGTGTAAAATGGAGTGGGTAACACGCTTGTCTCACTCCAGTGCTCTCACTGGAGACAGTGAGCAGTGCTTCACCCCTGAGTGTTCCCTGCCTCTGTTTTCTCAGTTTAATTGGTTCTTTCTCCCACCCCCACACAACATTTGCTGTCTTACAGATAGAGCATTTATGTAATGTTATTTAGGGAATCCTGTGAAATGTAGGTCTTTTTATCCATTCTCTAAAAATCTTAGGTTACTTACTGTTCTGCATATTTCTCAATTTGTTTTCACACTATTTGAGAAAATGTAGGTATAAATCATGAGAATTTGTATTTAAGGAGTCAATAGTTGGAACATATAAAATATATTTATTTTTATATTCTAGGTTGGATCCTTAGAACAAGCTATGCTTGATGCTCTTGTAATGGATAGAGTTTCATTTGTAAAACTTCTCATTGAAAATGGAGTGAGCATGCATAAATTCCTTACCATCCCCAGATTGGAAGAACTTTATAACACTGTAAGTCTGACAAAATTCTTTGCTCATTGTTTTATTGTCTTTAAAATGTCTTTTTATCTAAAAAATATATACTCCTATTGGTAGTTTTCAGTGTTTTAGTTGTTATGGATGGAGAAAACAGTCACTCTTAGTATTGATTCTTATATGACAGTCTAAAGCCACTCTCCAGTTTTAGAAGCCCTTCTCTATTGACTTAGCCATATGGGAAGAGTATTGATATAATAATAACCCATCATTTCTTTTCTTTCTTACCTTTTAAAAGTACAGGATAGACTTCTTATTTAGAGGATGATGTGTTACTTTGTTTTTTTACTCTTTTGTTTATTGGAAAACATATACAATATTTTTCCTTTCTTATTTCTTAAATTTATGGCTGTTGACCTTTTGATGTCTTTCTTTTGGTATATTTTCCCCATTTTTCTTGTAAAAACTTAATCTTATTTTATTTAATTTTGTTTTGTTTTTTGAGGCAGGGTTTCTCTGTAGCTTTGGAGCCTGTCCTGAAACTAGCTCTTGTAGACCAGGCTGGCCTCAAACTTACAGAGATCCGTCTGCCTCTTCCTCCCAAGTGCTGGGATTAAAGGCATTTGTCACCACCTCCTGGCAAACTTAATCTTTTTTAAAATTCATATTTCATAATTCATAATTTCAGATAGGACAAATACTTTGTGATTTTCTGTGGATCCAATGCAAATTTAATTGAACTTTGCTGTGAGGAATACTAAGCAAAGCCAAGTTTTATAACTTTTAGAAAATTCATCAATTTCTACTACTTTTTTATTCTTTGGTCATCTCTAATTGACTTCACTGCATTTTAATTTTCTTATCGCTATCTCTTTAATCTCTTACCTTGATCAAATTCTTTAGTTTTTATAATAACATACTCTGCTATGTCTTTCTGTAGTTTAGAATTTTTAATGACTTTTTAGTGCCTACACCGTATAGCTTGATTGTTTTCAGAAATAGACACTGGCGATTTTAAAGTTACGAGACAGGTTCTCACTATGTTGACACGGCCTACCTGCAACTCTCAGTTTAGACCAGGCTCAGTTTAGACCTAGAACTCATAAAAGTTGAGTGCTTCTGCCTTAGAGTGCTGGGATTGAAGGCCTGTGTCACTATGCTAGATGGTAGCCGAAGTTCTACCCTACCTATCTTCTCACTTCATCTTTTTATTTGGTACCTCAACCTCAGATAGTGTGGGTGTTGAGTGTATTATCTACCATTTTCTAAACACACAAACTATTTAGAAAAGCACTGATTTCTTGATATGTTCACCTGCTTTTTTCTATCTAGTCTTCATTTATTGAAATTTTATTCTGTGCGTAAAGCAGCTCACGTATTCCACTGTTTCCAAGAAACCTACTAGACTAGTTAAGGAGTGTATCTTCCTCCATGGGTTATACATGTCTTTTGAATAGGGTTATAGTTTTATCCACTAATACTATCTAGTATAATTACACTGAACTTTATTTGTGTCCTGTCTCTTGTTAATTGATGAAAAAATTAATAGGATTACTCATTGTTATATGAAGTTTCTCACTGAAATATAAACCAAATATAAAACAGTAAAAACAAAAACTGATTCCATTAGCAAGGAAGTCTTTAGCATTTGTTCAAGAGGGTCTTTGTAAGTACTATAAGTAACAAAAAGGGAGATTGTTTAATTTAGACCAAAGCTAATAGTTTTTTTTTCCCCTCAAGAAACAAGGTCCAACTAATCCGATGCTGTTCCACCTCATTCGAGATGTCAAACAGGTAAGAAACTGTCTTTGTTATAGGAAAACTTGACCTTTCAGTCATTTGCACTTTATTTTTGCCCTCAAAATACCTAAGTGCATTTTTAAAATAAGAGTAGAAACAACAGCTTTTTGTACTAGATAAAATAAGAACTATCTTTGTCATAAAAGTAAAGAACTTAGAGCTGCAGAGATGGCTCAGCTGGAATAGCAATGGAGAGATCGCAGATTCTGTTCCCCAGCACCCACATGGTGCCTGACAACAGTCTGTAACTTCAGTTCCTGGGCATCTGGTCCCTCTTTTTGTCTTGTGGGCACTAGGTAGACAAGGTTCACAGACATGCATGTGGGCAAAATACCCATATACATAAATTAAAAAGTTTATAGTAAAGAACTTACTATATCTATACCAAGAAAAAGAAAGCTTGTGATATTTGTCCCAGTTTCCTAAGCTTTTGTCAGATGGAACACAATACACTTTTTTAAAAAAGATTTCTTTATTTATTATATACACAGTGTTCTGCCTGCATGTATCTCTGAAGGCCAGAAGAGGGCATCAGACCTCCCTATGGGTGGTTGTGAGTCACCATGTGGTTTTGCTGGGAATTTAACTCAGGACCTCTGGAAGAGTAGCCAGTGCTCCTAACTGCTGAGCCATCTCACCAGCCATGGTTTTTTTTTTTTTTTTTTTTTTGGTTGTTGTTTTGTTTTTGTTGTTGTTGTTTTGTCTTGTTTTTATTTTTTGTTTTGTTTGTTTTTGAGACAAAAAGGTTTCTCAGTGGCCCTGGCTATCCTGGAACTATTTCTTGTAGACCAAGCTGGCCTCGAACTCAGAGTTCTGCCTACTTTGGCTTCCTGAGTGCTGGGATTAAAGGTGTTCACCACCACACCTAGCAATAAAATAAACTTAATAAACACAAAATGTCAATTCTATGTTTTTTTTAATTTATGTAATAAATTGTGATATGTGCTGTATTTAACTCTCAGAGTTTATAGCCTCTGTGTATGGAATGTTGGGGGGACGTAAAACTGAGCTGTCTTTCTGGGTTAAATTGGACTGATTTAAGTCATACCTGAGTTCTCAGAAATGTCAGAACCTCGTCATCTTTTATGAGAAAACAGAAATACTCATTATTTCTTCTGTAAAGGGCAACCCAATTTCTTATAACAAATAATAGTTCTCAATTTAGCAAATTATGCATATTCCCATGTCTGGCAAGTCAATATTGAATAATATTATCCTGTCCATTTAATATTTTGTTTCTAGGGTAATCTTCCTCCAGGATACAAGATCACTCTAATTGATATTGGACTTGTGATTGAATATCTCATGGGAGGAACCTACAGATGCACATATACAAAAAAACGTTTTCGATTAATATATAATAGTCTTGGAGGGAATAACCGGGTATGTATATAGTTTTAGTGGTTAAATGTTAAGAATTAGTTATAGAAGCCAGTTGGTGGTAGCACACACCTTTAATCTCAACACTTATGAGGCAGAAGCAGGCAGATCTCGAAAAACAAAACAACAACACAAAAGAATTAGTTATAAGTGCTGAGTTTGATGGGGGCATACCTGTAATTCTAGCATTTGAGAGGCTGGTACAAGAGGATGGCTGTGAGTTTCAGGCCAGCCTGGTTTATATATAGTAAGTTACAGCTTAGCCAGTCTGCTGGTGAAACCCTGTCTCAAAATAAAACAAAAAAGAACAACTAAAGATTTTAAGGGGATGAAAGTAGTTCCAAGGTAGAATGTTTCCCTAGTTTGTATAAGTTAGTCCCTAAATTAGGTGCCTCTCATCATATAAAGGACAGTGTTCGTTTCGTTAGAATACTGACAGTGACAGTTGACTTTGAATGTGGGTTTTCAGCTGATGTGGCAGTGCACACTTTTAATCCTAGCATTCATGCAGCAGAAGCAGGAAGACTTCTGTGAGTTCAGTGTCAACCTGGTCCACAAAGAGTACCAGGCCAGCCAAGGCTACTTAAACTGTCATAAAACAAAACATGAGAATCAGACTAAAAGTAATTAAAATGTTTTTTTAAGGTGGTTGGTAGCATGTACATATTTGTAGTATCAGTTCCTTGGGTAGCTGAGCTAGGCTTGACAACGTTAGAGACAGTGCTATCACTGAAAGAATATAACCAGAGGCTGGATGAGTGTGGTCATCATGATACACATGTAATCCTCACCCTTTGTGTCCAGAAGCAAGAGCCAAAAGTTCAAGGTCAGTATAGGCTATACAGATAGATTTTTTCAAAAGAGAAAGGGAGAGAAAATGGTAGTTAGAATCCTAAACCAACTATTTTTATATATAGACAAACATTTACAAATGTTTATAATTTATTCTGGAATTTTTTTTTTATAACGTGTCAGCTTTTTAAAATACTCTCATTTTCAGAGGTCAGGTCGAAATACCTCTAGCAGCACTCCTCAGTTGCGAAAGAGTCATGAAACTTTTGGCAATAGAGCTGATAAAAAGGAAAAAATGAGACACAATCATTTCATTAAAACAGCCCAACCCTACAGACCAAAGGTATGTTGATTTATTCTTTAACAAAAATAGGTTTGGGCAGGCAGTGATGGCACAAGCCTTTTATAGTAGCAGAGGCAGAGACAGGTGATCTCTGAGTTCAAGGCCACTTTGTCTGTAGAGCAAGTTCCAGAATAGCCAGGGATACATAGAGAAGCCCTGTCTTAAGCCCTCTGCCTCCCCCAAAAGATTTGTTCAGCATATTAAAGATGGTAATATTATCCTTCCTAAATTTTGCTTTCTGCCAATTTGTATTACTAGATAAAAACTTTGATTTAGTAAGAATTATCTTTTGGTTTGGAACTTTTATACATTTGACTTATTTTTTCCATGAATAAAATTATTATGAATTAATAATTGTATTGTTTGTCCAGTTTTAGCTACGATAATAACCAGATTTAAAAATTAAGTGACTTTATTTTTTATTCTAGTATATACAACAAAATTTTATTAAATTTAGATTTTATCAGATATTAGTTCAGATATTATGACCGTGTCTCAGCCTTTTTGTTGAATTGACGTTTTTATAAAAATGAATTATGAATTATAATAAAAATAAAGTTAATGAATTTTACATTATTTTTTACAGGCTGTTTATTTAAAAGTTTCTTTCAGCCATGCACTGGTATCCTAGCACTCGGGGAGGCAGAGCAGGTGGATCTTTGTGAGTTTTAGGCCAGTGTGGTCTACAGAACAAGTTCCATGACAGCCAAGGCTACACAAAGAAATTCTGTCTCACAAAAAAAAAAAAAAAAAAAGGATGGTTGTGGTTGTCATATGGTCTTGTTATTACTGTCACTACTGGTTTAAGATCCTGGAGGTCAGATTCAAGCCTCTTTGCCTAGTAGATAGTCTGTGTTCTGCAGACTTAAATCCCAGCCCTCATATGGCCTTATTGTGAGTCTTACAGTGTTTATTTCCCTTGAAGATGGATGCAACTATGGAAGAAGGGAAGAAGAAAAGAACCAAAGATGAAATTGTAGATATTGATGATCCAGAAACCAAGCGCTTTCCTTATCCTCTTAATGAGTTATTAATCTGGGCTTGCCTAATGAAGAGGCAGGTCATGGCCCGCTTTCTATGGCAGCATGGTGAAGAATCAATGGCTAAAGCATTAGTTGCCTGTAAGATCTATCGCTCAATGGCGTACGAAGCAAAGCAGAGTGACCTGGTAGATGATACTTCAGAGGAGCTGAAGCAGTACTCCAAGTGAGTGACATGAAAGTGTTTGCCTGCATGCTCTGGTGCTGTCTTTAACAGAGATGTGTGGAGGGTTGAGGAGGGTATTGAGTTTATTGGTGTAATCAAGACAGATATTTTAGGTGCATTATGTAATTTTAAAAATTTGAAAGACGCTTGCTGTTTGATATGTTAAACATTTCAGAAAGCAAGAAAGAAATGGGAGAGTTAAATAAGTATACCTAATAGTAATTATGTTAAGAATTCTGTTTGGAATGGAAAATAAGGAATGTGGAGCTGGCGATTTGGCTCAGCAGTTAAGAGAACTGGCTACTCTTCCAGAGGACCTGGGTTCAGTATCCAGTGCCCACATGGTGACTCACAACTTCCTGTAACTCCAGTTCCAGAGGCTCTGGTGCCTTCTTCTGACTTTTGTGGGCTCTGCACATTGTACACTTGTGGTATATGTCCATATACTCAGGCACACACATACCCATAAAAATTAACTTAAAAGAAATTAAATTAAAACAGTAAAGTTCTAGGATAATTTAAGAGTAGTTGGTTAAAAGTGTACTTTTTAGACTGGGTGTGTAGATAAACTCAGTAGTATAGTTTCTTTAAAAAAATTTTTTTTTTGTTTAGTTTATGTGTGTGGGTATTTTACTTCCATGTTTGTCTAGTGTGCCTGATGCCCAACAAGTCCTGAAGGGGGATGTCATATCCCATGGGACAGAGTTACAGACAAATGTGATTCTCCATTTGGGTGCTGGGAATTGTATATATACCCAGGTCCTCTGGAAGAGCTACGAGTGCTCTTAACTGCTGAGCCATTTCTCCAGCTCTTAATTTTTAAATTATATTTTATTTATTCTTTTGGAGAGGGTAATAGAATTTTTTTTTGTTGTGTTTGAGACAAGGTTTCTCTGTGTAGTTTTGGAAACTGTCCCGGAACTCTGCTCTGTGGATCAGGCTGGCCTTGAACTCACAGAGATCTGCCAGCCCCTAAATCCCAAATGCTGGAATTAAGGTTTGTGCCACCAACACTCAGCTGGTAGTAGAGTTTCTAACATGCTGTTTGTTTGTGTTTATTGAGACAGGGTTTCTCTGTAGCTTTGCACCCTGTTCTGGCACTAGCTCTTATAGACCAGGCTGACCTCGAATTCACAGAGAGCTACTTGCCTCTGCCTCCTGAGTGCTGGGATTAAAGGTGTGCGCCACCACTACCCAGCCTCTAACATGTTTGATTCTCAGCAAAAACAAAACAACCTTACAGTTTCTTTACCTGAGTATACTTTAGTGTTTTTGTTGTTGTTCTTTATTTTGTTTTGTTCTGTAGTGATTTTGGCCAACTAGCAGTTGAATTACTGGAACAATCCTTCAGGCAAGATGAAACCATGGCTATGAAATTACTCACTTATGAACTGAAAAACTGGAGTAATTCAACCTGCCTTAAATTAGCAGTTTCATCAAGACTCAGACCTTTTGTAGCTCACACCTGTACACAGATGTTGTTATCTGATATGTGGATGGGACGGCTCAATATGAGAAAAAATTCCTGGTATAAGGTATTTTAAAAATAACTAGATTTCGATTTAAAGTATATAATGAGATACATACTATATACAAATTAGCCTACACATATAGTAAAATTATTTTCTAGTATAATAGACAATTAGAACTTGAGGAAATGAGTGATTATTAATTTGTAGAATTCCAGACCTATCATCTGCAAACTTCATGTATTATTGAGGTGTATTGAATGCATGTCTCCATGTGCCTAGAGTATAAAATAGATTAGTGCAGCATATCAATGTATACAGGACCTAAGGATAAGAATTTGGGTAAAATGGTTAGTCCTTTCAGTTTTGTCTTTATGAGAAGTACTACTTTAAACTTCCTTTTTATTTTCTCATATGTCTTTTAATATAGTAAAAAATTAGAAGGCAGAAGATTGTGTAAGAGTGATATGTAAAGTTTTAGAAATAAACTTTGTTTTTTGACTGAATAATGATGAGTCTTCATGCTATAGGAGAGGTCTCAGGTAAAATAACAACAGCACCTTCATAATGTTTTAAGTTTTCTCTAAATAAAAATATTTTTTAGCAAATTATGATTTTATTTAAAGGACCATTCTGTACTGATTATTCAACCTATGAACCTATGCTGACACTACCATAGTACTAAGATGATACAGTATGTAAAGAAAAATGAATTTTTAATTTTTCCTACAGTTTTGTGGTAAAATTGGCAGCACTCAAAAGATAATTCATGTGTAACTTACTGTTTTCTTCTCAAAGGTTTTAAAATGGAAACTTTTATGTCTCAAAATTCTAGGTCATATTAAGCATTTTAGTTCCACCTGCTATATTAATGCTAGAGTATAAAACCAAGGCTGAAATGTCCCATATCCCACAATCTCAAGATGCTCATCAGATGACTATGGAGGACAGTGAAAATAATTTTCACAACATAACAGAAGAGATACCTATGGTAAGAATAGAGGACCACAGAGCAGGTATATTTATGTTTGTTATGAGTAAATAGATACCAAATATATATTTTTAATTTTAGGAAGTATTTAAAGAAGTAAGGATTTTGGACAGCAGTGAAGGAAAGAATGAAATGGAGATGCATATTAAATCAAAAAAGCTTCCAATCACACGAAAGTTTTATGCCTTTTATCATGCACCAATTGTAAAGTTCTGGTTTAACACGGTATGTTTTTGAATTGTTATGTTCTTGGTTTGGTTTAATGGGGTTTTTTTGTTTTTTAGTTCTAAAAAGCATAGTTTTTTGTTGTTGTTGTTTTTGTGGGGTTTTCTTGTTTTTTGTTTCCGAGATAGGTTTTCTTTGTGTAGCTCTGACTGTCCTGGAACTTATTCTTTAGACCAGGTCTGGCCTCGAACTCAGATATATCCGCCTGTCTCCCAAGTGCTGCAATTAAAGGCATGCACCACAAAAGATGCTTCTTAGAGAATTTTTAATCTGGAATCCACATTAATCTTTGTATAATTTAGATCATTGAAAATGCATTCCTTATTAAAAGATTATTACATTGGCATACTTCATCTAAGCTACTGATGTTTAGAATAATAAGCACTAACAAATTTTAGTTCTAATTTTATTAAATAATGTAAATAAGCATATGCCTTTCTAAAAGGTAACAAATATAAGCCAGTTGTGGTGGCACATGCCTTTAATCCCAGCAGGTGGATCCCTGGGAATTCAAGGCCAGCCTGCTCTACATAGAGAATTTCAGTACAGTCTTCAAAAGGCAAACAGAAGGTAACAAATATAAATTTCTGTTAATATTAAAGTTGTGAATATAGCCCAATAGTAGGGGTATATGCTTAGCATGTGTGGGATCCTACATTCAACCCCCAGTACTTGGTAGAGATAGGGAAAATCTAAAGTAATGCTGACAGCTGGCAACATGACTGTAAAGGTAGGAGAGAACCAAATCTACAGTGTTGTCTTCTAATTTCCACATGTGTGCGCTCGCGCTCTCTCTCTCTCTCTCTCTCTCTCTCTCTCTCTCTCTCGCACGCCATAAGCATCAAACACAATCATAATAAACAAAAACAAAAATAGTGCTAAAAGGTCAACTGAAAATGATAAATTTGTAATTTGTGTTTTGTGGTTGTGCAGATAGCATTCAGAAATGTTCATAAATAAATCTGCTACTTTAAAATGGAAGGAAGGAAGAGAGCAATCCAGACTTGATTTACAATGACCATTGCTATAGTCTTGTGCTCCGTTGTTCTGCATTGGCCCTTCTCTTAATCTGTGGGGAAAATTTAGTGACAAAAGCATAAATTCATAAAAGTATGTATCTATATGTTGAAATGTAGTTTTTACTCATTGTTGGTTCTCTAGAACATCTAGTGGGATGTCTTGTTGGGGGCATCTTCTAGGGAAGAACACATTTGTCTGAGAAGATAATTTTGGTTTATTTGAAACAGAGCTTCATGTAGTCAAACTGATCTTGAACTGGATATGTAAGCAAGGCTGGCCTTGAACTCTTGATCCTCTTGCCTCTACCTCACAAGTACTGCACTTGTTTATGGTGACATGTGCCACCATCCCTCCCCTCCCAGGAAAACAAAGTAATGGTGTTTGTTCACTTTCATCAGTACTAGACATTTGCCAAAGTTGACAAATGGTTTTGTGTTATGACGAATATTTTATAGTTAATTCTTTTTCACTCATACTCATGCTTTATTACCCTGAGATTAATTTATTACATTTCTTTTTATGAAAATTTCTTGTTCCTTCTAGATGCAGATAATGCAAACCTCTATTATCTGATCCCCTAATTCTGTCCCACTGATGGAATTAATGAGGATTGATAACATTTGCATTCATTTTAGTGGCTGCTTAAAACAGCCAGCCCATGTTGCCACATGAATATTTGTCTTTATAGTTCCCTAGTCTACCATAACTCAAATTAGATTTTGTGTATACAGAAATATGTCCATAATGTTTTGTTTTGTAATTAATTTTATTCATATAACTTTTATTTCTTTTTTATTAGTTGGCATACTTAGGATTTCTGATGCTTTATACATTTGTAGTTCTTGTACAAATGGAACAGTTACCTTCAGTTCAAGAATGGATTGTTATCGCTTATATTTTTACCTATGCTATTGAGAAAGTCCGTGAGGTATGTCTAGTTTTTCTTTCCAGTAACTGTATATTATGCATGCATGCAGGATTCTTTAATTTGTTGTGCTTATGGGTATGTTCTTGTAATTTCAGTGATACGTGGAAGTCTAGAGCTTGTTTATTTTGCCATTCTGAAAACCATGATCTTTAAAAAATGCTTAAGCAGAGCAGTGTTCACACACCTTTAATCCCAGCACTCTGAAGGCAGAGGCAGACCGATCTCTGAATTCAAGGCTAGTCTGGCCTACAGAGCAAGTTCCAGGACAGCCAGGGCTACACAAAGAAACCCTCTCTCAGGAAAACAAAATGGTTATTAGTAACTTATGTTCACTTTGCTATAATTAACAAATATAATAATTTTTCTCAAAATCAAAACATAGATTTTATTTTTATCTTACTTCCTCAAGTTTCACATGATCGCCGACATTCGTCAGAAGTAATGAATGTGCATGGTGGTAGTCAGGTAAATTAAAGGTCGGTTTCCATTTAGCACTCAGGCTGTATACCCCCTAGAGTGCCCTGTGTTGCCTCCAGTCGCCAGTAGGATTTATTTGTATCTCTTACTTTTCTACTTTAAAATTGGCAATTTTATAACATCATAATTTTGAGAAGGGAAAAAATTTTTTCTTTCCTTAAACAAAAACAAAAAAGTCTTAGGGGATGGGGAATATACATCTATAATCCCAGCACTGGTTTAGGAGTTCAGGGTCATCTTCTGCTATACAGTGAATCTGAGGACCTGTCTGGGCTGCTCGAAACCCTGTTTCAAAAATAAAATAAACATTTAGTTTATTTAGTTTTGTTTTTGTTTTTTGAGACTGGGCTTCTCTGTGTAACTTTGGAGCCTGTCCTGGAACTGTCTTTAGACCAGGCTGGACTCAAACTCACAAAGTTCTGCCATCCTTTGTCTCCCAAGTGCTGGGATTAAAGTCATGTGCTACCACCACCCAGGTATTTATTTCATTTTATGTTTATGAATGTTTTAACTGTGCTTGTGTGTGTGTCCATGTGTTTGGTGCCAACTGAAGCCAGCAGAGGGCATCAGATCTCCTAGATGAGTTATGAGCCATGTAGGTGCTGACAATCAAACCTAGGTCCTCTGGAAGAGTGACCAGTGTTCTTTGCAGAGCCATCTCTCCAGCCTAAAAGACTCTTTTGTGTTGTGTTTTGTTTGCGTGTATTAATATGTACTATGTGCATGCCCAAGTATTTTCTATTTAAACTAATTGCTGTATACTTGTAAATAGTTTTGTATAAGTAATTAGGCATAGTATTTTCCTCCTATTTGCTTCTACAGAAGCTTATTAAAATACCTAATGATGGCAGTCCATGTGTTTTTTAAATCTATTGTCATCATGGCTGAAATTAATTTGTTTAATGGTAAGGAATTCATAGCATTTTTGCATGTATTTGTGAGAATGGCACTAATTGTATCTGCCTTTTGTGGGAAGGGAAATTGCTTGAGAGAGGAAAGCAAAAGCAGGCATTACTATTGGGAAACACTTTTATTTTGTAGCTTTGAATATATTACTCAAAAGGTAATGCTTTTAATTACTTGGGTAGTAGATTTTTAATAAGTTATATATTTACAATTACTTCAATCATTGAATTATTTATCTTCTGCAAATAAGGCAGTTTTGGAATGTGTTGCCAGTATAGGCAAGTACTGTTTTGATTTGAAATAAAACATTTCAAAAGCATTTCTCATCCCAACTTTCTACTTACATCAACTTGCTGAGCAAGTAATTTATAAGAAGTTGTTTCTGTTTGTGTGGTTTTGGGTTTTGTAACAGGCTCTCACTATATAGTTCTGCCTGTCTCTGCCTTATATGTTCTGGGATTAAATGGTTTTGTCACCATGCCTGCCTCCATAAGGAATCTTTCATCTATTAACTTTTTGTTTTATTATTAAATACATCTTCAGATCTCAGATACCTTGAAACTAAAATATAGCTAAAATTCTTCTGTGGTGTTATAGTTGGATTCTATATATGTTTTAATTGAAAGGATTTGAGTCACCTTTTTTTCTTGTTAAACCTTTAGGTCTTTATGTCTGAAGCTGGGAAAATCAGCCAGAAGATCAAAGTGTGGTTTAGTGACTACTTCAATGTCAGTGACACAATTGCCATAATTTCTTTCTTCATTGGATTTGGACTAAGATTTGGAGCAAAATGGAACTTTTTGAATGCATATGATAATCATGTTTTTGTGGCTGGAAGATTAATTTACTGTCTTAATATAATATTTTGGTATGTGCGTTTGCTAGATTTTCTAGCCGTAAATCAACAGGCAGGACCTTATGTAATGATGATTGGAAAAATGGTAAGTTGAAATATCTGCTGAAATGCATGAATTGTTTCTTTAAAATTATAAAAATATTTTAATATAGCTTTACCTGGACCCACAAATATCTGTTAGTTAGGTTTATTTGCCTCATACTCTTAATCTCCCATTCCTTAAGGATATTCATCAATGTGTGTGTTAATGTGGAGTGTGTTTGTGATGTATGTGTGTGTGTCTGAGGGTGTATATATATGTATGTATGTATGTATGTATGTATGTATGTATGTATGTATGTATGTGGTGGGCAGAAGATGACATTGGTTGTTTTCTGTTACCCTTCATCTTATTCCCTGTGATAGGGTGTCTCGTTGACACTAACCTTTTCTTCTTCCCTTATTTCTTCTCTTCTTTCTCTCCCTCACTTCACTCTCTTCTTTACATCCCTGTCCCTTCCTCCTTTTCTACTTTTTTTTTTTTTTTTTTTTTTTTTTTTTGATTTTTTAAGACAGGGTTTCTCTGTGGTTTGGTTCCTGTCCTGGATCTAGCTCTTGTAGACCAGGCTGACCTCGAACTCACAGAGATCCACCTGTCTCTGCCTCTCGAGTGCTGGGATTAAAGGCGTGCGCCACCACCGCCCGGCTCCTTTTCTACTTTTTTGCTCCTGTCATTTTCTTTAATTTTGAGATCATATTGAGCTATAAGAAATAATAATAATCTTGTTAGCTTTTGTCTTGCTTCCTCCAAAGGTTGTATCTCCATTCTTCCCCTTTAAACTTTATCTTGCATGTTCTTGACCTCTTTCTTATCTGTGCTGTACTCACAAGGGTCTTTACATTTCTTTATATTGAAGATTTGCATTGTGGTATATGTCTCTAGTCCCAGGTTCTATGACGTGAGCAAAATACAGATGTATGAGGCAAAGTGGGGGGAAGTCTTCACTTCATTGTTAGTTGACAAGCCTTAAGAGTTGCATTTACTGAAATTAAGCCTCCAAATTTGCCCATGTAACTATAGTTTTTTATGTCTTTATTAGATAGGCTACATTTTGAACTACTGATAGTTTATTATAGAGTCAATGATGCCTGTATTTGCTTAGCATCACTAATCATTTTTAAATACAATCTCCATAAGGTTTATGTAGTGATAAAATTTTTCTGAATGCTATTATCAGCAATAAATGGAAGCTCAAATATTCTACTGTCAATTACAACATTAGAAATACCTTTTAGGATGAAAATTTGTTACAGGACTTAAATTCTCTTGTGTCTTAATAGTATCCCCCCCTTTTTTAAAACAGGTCGCCAATATGTTCTACATTGTAGTGATAATGGCTCTTGTATTACTTAGTTTTGGTGTTCCCAGAAAGGCAATACTTTATCCTCATGAAGAACCATCTTGGTCTCTTGCTAAAGATATAGTTTTTCATCCATACTGGATGATTTTTGGTGAAGTGTATGCATATGAAATTGATGGTAAGAATTTAATGTTTTTTTGGTTATCTTGTAAAGTTAGACTTACATTCTAAATTATTGTATGCTTTCCAGTCAAACTTAAATGTCCTGCACAATGCATTAACCGCAGAAAAAACAAAATGTGTAATAAAAGTCTGTCCTAAATTCTTATCGCTTGGAAAGATACCTCTCAGGTAATGGATGAGGGTACCATTATTAGCCTAGACAAAGCCAGGGAGGTCACTGACAGAAGTAATGGCCCTATGTGAAAACTGAAAAGCTTACATGATGACAACCTTTTAAGGCAATAACTGATTTTTTTTTGAGTTTATATCAAAATTTTGAAAACCTGAATAAACTGATAAATGAAGTAACTCTCTCTGTCCAACCCAGTCTTAGAGCATTACGTCTGTTGCCCATTTCTGTGAGGTAAATTTTTAGTTTGACTGATTGGCAGCAACTTTCAGGGGTGTACTGACCTCTGCATCTGAGCTGTAGAGTACACTGTATGTGTTCTCTCTCTCCCTCTTCCTTGCCCCACACTTGGATCTCTCCTACACGACCCTAGTGGCTAAAATAGTGATGTTTTATATACCTGTCAATTTTTATTTAATGGCTTCTCATTCAGTGTCATTTTTCAGGGTTTTGTTGCCTGCTATTTTTCTAATGGTGTCTTTTTATATGAATCTTATAAAACATAGACATCCTGGGCAAAGTGTCATACACCTGTAATCCCAAGACTTGAGATGCAGAGACAGGAGGATGTCTGTGATTTTAAGGCAAGCCTCGTCTACATAGTAATAATTAGAACTTCAGTAATATATACATTTTAAAATAGTGGCTAAATACTAGCTATAAGTGTACATATAGAATTAATTATATAGAATTGATTATATAGAATTGTTTCTCATTCATAATGGTTTTCATCCCTTCTACCCAAATAAATCTTGTGCTATTCCTTGTAATTGTGGTGGATGTTAAAACTATGCCCCACCTTGCTTGACCTAACTTCAAAAGTATTTCATGTATGGATAATAGAAACAAGGAATTCAAATCTAGTCATTTAAAAATATATATTTATAAACCATGCAGTGGTGGCACACGCCTTTAATGCCAGCACGTGGGAGGTAGGGGCAGGTGGAACTCTGTGAGTTCGAGGCCAGCCTGTTTTACAGAGTGAGTTCCAGGACAGCCTTAGAGAAACCCTGCCTCAGAAAACAAAACAAAATTTAAAAATACATATATTTATTTTTGATTATATGTATATTTGTTTGTCTGTGTGTGGGTATATGCACCTAATTGCAGGTGCCTGTGACAGCCAGAAGCATGGGATCTATCTGAAGCTGCAGTTACAGGTGGTTCTGACTCACCCAACGTACGTGTTGTACTGAACTCGGATCCTCACTTTTAATCATTTAGCTATCTCTCCAGACCCCAAATCTAGTAATTTTATATTTAAAATGCATTTTAACTCTTTGGAGACATAATGAAGTCTATAACTTAGTTTACTGTGAATCCGTCTTATTCAGATATTTTTCTTATATAAATGCTATATTTCACTGTATCCAGGGTTTTTATCTATGTTTACCCTCAGTCTAAATCTGTCTTCAGATAGATGAACATGCACTAACCCTTGCTTATGTTTAGTTCAGTAGTATGGCAGAACCGAAGCCCCACAGCCCTCAATGTTGGAGTCCTTGTAAAGCAGGCTCCAGTGCGGCCTGTCAAAGGTCCTTGTCTTTTAACTCTTAAGCAGATTTGCAGATGCTCAAATTTTTCTGTTGAGACAAAGAACCTGGAACACCGAACTATTATGTTTAAAATTCTTTTCTCTCTTCCCAAAGTGTGTGCAAACGATTCCACTGTCAAGGAAATCTGTGGTCCTGGCACATGGCTGACTCCATTTCTTCAGGCAGTCTACCTCTTTGTACAGTATATCATTATGGTTAATCTTCTTATCGCATTTTTCAAGTAAGAATTTTATTTACTTTATTTATTTGATACAAAGCTTTCATTTTGAATGAGATACTGTTTTTTTTTTTTTTTTTTTTTTTTGGTTTTTTGAGACAGGGTTTCTCTGTGGAGATACTGAGTTTTAAAATCTAAATTTTATTGAGACTTAAAGTATTAAATATTTTGGAAAAATAAGACTTGATTTTTCAAATCAGAGGAATTCTAAATGTTAGGTTTTATTATTTTCAACATAAAATCCGTGTGTGCATTTGTGTTTTATATCTGTACTCCTTCACGTGCGTATGTGCATAAGGATGTGTATGATATGGAGGGTGGAGGTAGATACTAGGTGTGTTTGTTGATCATTCTCTACTTTAGTTTAAACTTAATTTTTATTTTCTGTGTTTAGGTATGTTTTTGCTTGCATGTATGTTTATACTACATTCAAGCAGTTAACAAACTTGTGAGCTTCCATGTGGACCTTGGGAACCAAACTCTGAAAAAATAGTATAGTTTATGGCTTAGTTGTCTCTCTAGCCCCTCCCCATTTTTTAAAAGATTTATTTATTATATACAGTTCTGCCTGCATGTTTTCATATACTCCACAAGAAGGTACCAGATCTCATTATAGATGGTTGTGAGCCATCATGTGGTTGCTGGGAATTGAATTTAAGACCCCTCCCTGTAAGAACATCCAGTTCTCTTAACCTCTGAACCATCTCTCCAGTCTCAATCTCTACCTTACTTTTAAAGAAAGGGTCAAAAGACTGGTGAGGTGAGTTGATAAAGGTGCTTATTAACAAGTCCCCAAGACCTACATGGTGAGGAGACCTGTGCACATGACACACATAGGAAAAAACATGTTTTAAAATTTTTGATCTTTATCTCAGATTTTTCTTGGGTTGCTAGAGAATTGCAGAAAAACACAGAACTTAACAGTAATTATACTTGATATTTAGGTTATATTTATATAACTTTTTTTTTCAAGACAGGGTTTCTCCATAGCTTTTTGGTTCCTGTCCTGGAACTAGCTCTTGTAGACCAGGCTGGTCTCGAACTCACAGAGATCCACCTGCCTCTGCCTCCCCAGTGCTGGGATTAAAGGCGTGCGCCACCACTGCCCGGCTTCATATAACATTTTTGAGAATATATAAATTGTGGTTCTCAAAATAATCTTACTCTGTGTGTGTGTAAATGTGCACGTATTTCTTGAGACAGTTCTGGCTGGCCTAGAACTATCTTTGTAGACCAGGTTGCCCTGCGTGTAGATCCACCTCCCTCTGCATCACCATGCCTGGCAGTTTTATGTTTAAGCAGTTTTTAATGACTATGTCATTCTCCATGATCTAGATCGTATTTCATGCCAGTATATTAAACTGCTTCATTAGATTATCTTTTTTTTTTTGCTGCTAAACGTTTTTCTTTTTTTAAAAAAAAATTATTTATTTATTTATTATGCATATAATATTCTGTCTGTGTATATGACTGCAGGCCAGAAGAGGGCACCAGACATCATTACAGATGGTTATGAGCCACCATGTGGTTGCTGGGAATTGAACTCAGGACCTTTAGAAGAGCAGGCAATACTCTTAACCACTGAGCCATCTCTCCAGCCTGCTAAACATATTTTTGAAAATTTTTTTTTTCCTTTCTAAATGTTCAGAACTTTTGAGGATATGTACTTCTAGGGCTGTTTGACTTTAAATCAAAATAAGGCTGTGTCCCTAGCTATGTAAACCAGGCTGGCCTCAAACTCACAGTTATCTGTCTGCTTCTCTCTCCCAAGTGCTAGGGTTAAAGACTGTTTTATTCATTACATATAGTTTTGTAAAAGCCTCAAGCCGTTCCCTTCCTGCCCATTTTTCTAAGGTTATTATTAAGGTCCTCAACAATATCAACCTTTATGTTACATATAGTTTTTTGTTTACATTTTTTTTTTTTTGTTTTTCGAGACAGGGTTTCTCATTTTTTGAATGAAAGTATACTAAAGTACAGAATTAAGGTGAAATATTTAGTATTAATATTTCAGAATATAACTGCTTTATTTTTGTTCATTCTAGTAATGTATATTTACAAGTGAAGGCAATTTCCAATATTGTATGGAAGTATCAGCGTTATCATTTTATTATGGCTTATCATGAGAAACCAGTTCTGCCTCCTCCACTTATCATTCTCAGCCATATAGTTTCCCTGTTTTGCTGTGTATGTAAAAGAAGAAAGAAAGATAAGACTTCTGATGGACCAAGTAAGTAAAATAAATTGAGGAAAATTTTTTTTTGCTTCTCAATATTATACTTGAATGCTAAATACTGATTTTAGAGATAAGCTATTAGTTATTGTGAAAATTCTAAATTTGTCTCAACATGAAGCAATTTTAGGTACAGTTTGAGTATCTGCAAATAAGAACTATGATAATTTGGATATTAAAGACCAGTCTTTTTAAGAATTAGAGTGAGCACATAAAGTGATAGCTATGAAATCAGACTGGCCAGAAGACAACTAAAATTAAAAGTCACTAAATTATTACAAGTGCTTTCAAACATCAAATGTTTCATAAAGTGCAAATAACTAGACACAGCAGGAAAACATCTGAGTCTGGGTAAAGAATGTGATGACATGGGTTGGAGATATTTTGGTTGATTAGGGCGCCTACTTTCCTCATCTCCTACTTTCTCTTTATTAGGCCAAATAGTATTATTTTTTTTTCTTCTTTGAGATAGCGTGTATTTTGGAGGCTGTTTTGGAACTTTAGACGAGGCTAGCCTTGAATTCACAGAGCTCTGCCTGTCTCTGCCCCCTGAGTGCTGAGATTAAACCACCCAGCCCAAATAGTATCCTTGATTATTCTTATTTCAAGTATAATATGTCACACATAAATGTTATATCAGTTACAAAGAACAAAAAGTTTTTTTCAGCTGGGTTTTGGTGGTACATACCTTTAATCCCGGCACTAGGGAGGCAGAAACAAACAGATCTCTGTGAGTTCGAGACTATCCTGATCTTCGGAGAAAGTTCCAATAGCCAGGGCTGTTACACAGAGAAACCCTATCTTGAGAGAAAAACAAACAAATTTTAAAATATGTTAACTTTAGCAACACCTTAACTTTCTACCAATCAAAAGCTTAAGTGTCCTCAGATAAATTCAGATCATAGCTGAGATGTCTATCTATTTCAAAAATGCCTTGATTTATGACTTTCTGTTTTGTTACTATGAAAACTTCATAAAACTGCTTCCATGTTTTAACATGGAATTTGGGTAATCTAAATCTCTGTTTCTGGGCCAATGTAAATCATATTTGGCTTTAGAACAAACTGTTTATCATTTAAACAATAGCAAAACAATATGATCATAAAAGTCAATTTGATATTTAACTGCTTTTGGGGAATGGCCCCTCAGTTCTTGTTAAAAATGATAACCTATGTCATTTTACCTGTTCTTGAAACCTGTTCTTCCAAATTAGTACATCTTCATACAACCTGCGGTAAATCAACAAGTCAGTTATATTTAAATTTTTTGTGGTTTTCTTTCTCATAAAATTCTTAAATTTCTCCTACAAGACACATGATCAGAGAACTAAGCAAGAAATAGGAACGACATAGTATTAAAGAAGAAAGTAAAAAGAGACAAAATATCTAAAACTTGGGCATGGTTTGCATGCCTTTAATCTCAGCATTTGAGAAGCAGAGGCAAGAGGGTGTGTGTGAGTTCCAGGACTACATAGAGAGACCCAGTCTGTTAAATAAATAGTTGTCTATCAAATAAACAAAAACAATGAATAAGTAGAAGGAGAAAGACACGAGCTGAAATCTGGTGGGTAGCGTTCATTGTGTTCTAATTTTTTTCTGGTCTTCTTCTCCTTAGAACTTTTCTTAACAGAAGAAGATCAAAAGAAACTCCATGACTTTGAAGAGCAGTGTGTTGAAATGTATTTTGATGAAAAGGATGATAAATTCCATTCTGGGAGTGAAGAGAGAATCCGTGTCACTTTTGACAGGTAGATAGTCTCTTTAATTATTACTGACTGTATGTTAAAATGAATCCTGTTAGCTGATATATGTTCTCTGTTTAGTTTAGTTTATCAGTTAAAAAAAACTTTATATTACAAGCATTGAGAAATCAGGTTAGTTCTTTACATTTGCTACATGTAACCCAGTAGATCTCTTGTTACAAGCTTTTATTTTATGTGTATGAGTGTTTTATATACGTGTGTGTGTGTGTTCACGTGTGCATTTGTGTTCATGTGGAGGTCAGAAGAAGGCATTGATCTCCTGGAACTGGGATTCCAGATGGTTATGAGCCACTGTGAGGGTGATGGGATTCAAATCCTAACTCCTCTGGAAGACCAGCAAGTGCTCTTAACCACTGAGCCACCTGTCTAGCCCCTTACTTTGCTCTTTAGTGATGCTAGGGGTCAAGCTCATGCCCACACTTATTAGGAAATGCTTATACCTCTTAGTCTGGTCCTCAGTGCTCTTGTATTTTGACTGTAGTTACAAGGAGAGAAGAGTTGGTATTTTCAAATTTTCAAGAAGATAAAAGTAATGTTTTCATAACTATTTTAAGGCTTTTGTTTTTTTTTTTACAATGTTTTTGTATTTGTATTTGTGTGGTATTTGTGTATGACACTGATGGTAGTCCTTTGTATATGTAGTTTTATATACATTTTGAAGGAGTGAACTCAGATAGCCTATGGAACAAAATTTGTTTGTAAAACTTTGTGTTTTAAGCCAGGAATGGTGGTGCGCACTTTTAATCCCAACCCTAGGGAGGCAGAGGTAGGCAGATCTCTGTGAGTTTGAAGCCAGCCTGGTCTACAGAGTGAGTTCCAAGACAGTCAGGACTACAAAGAGAAACCCTGTCTCAAGGGAAAAAAAAAAAAATATATATATATATGCCCCGTGTATGCATGCCATGTGGAGGGCATGTTTGCTGTGGCTTCAGTGAAGACTTTAGAGGACAACGTTTTCTCCTGACCAGATTACAGAGCCCAAACTTCGGCCTTTAATGAGCCATCTCCCTGTCCCATCTACATTATTTTTAACATCTGAAATGCCCTTTTGTCCCCTGCAGAGTGGAGCAGATGTGCATTCAGATTAAAGAAGTTGGAGATCGTGTCAACTACATAAAAAGATCATTACAGTCTTTAGATTCTCAAATTGGCCATCTGCAAGATCTCTCAGCCCTGACAGTAGATACATTAAAAACACTTACAGCCCAGAAAGCTTCAGAAGCTAGCAAAGTTCACAATGAGATCACTCGGGAATTGAGTATTTCCAAACACTTGACCCAGAATCTTATTGATGACGTTCCTGTAAGGCCTATGTGGAAGAAGCATAGCGTTGTAAATACACTGAGTTCCTCTCTTCCTCAAGGTGATCGTGAAAGTAATAATCCTTTTCTTTGTAACATTTTTATGAAAGATGAAAAAGACCTCCAGTATAACATATTTGGTCAAGATTTGCCTGTGATACCCCAGAGAAAAGAATTCAACATTCCAGAGGCTGGTTCCTCCTGTGGTGCCTTATTCCCAAGTGCTGTTTCTCCCCCAGAATTAAGACAGAGGCGACATGGGGTAGAAATCTTAAAAATATTTAATAAAAATCAGAAATTAGGCAGTTCACCTAATAGTTCACCACATATGTCATCCCCACCAACCAAATTTTCTGTGAGTACTCCATCTCAGCCAAGTTGCAAAAGTCACTTGGAATCTGCAACCAAAGATCCAGAACCTGTTTTCTATAAAGCTGCAGAAGGAGATAACATAGAATTTGGAGCATTCGTGGGTAAGTTTGGCAAACTATTGCTGTATATTAGTGTTGCTTTTGATGTCAGAAACACTACCTTAGAAAAGTAATTAGCTAATTAATAAAAATGTACTATAAGACAGGTTGCCATTAATTATAAACTTATTTGGGAACTGTCTTTTGAATTTACTGCATATTCAGTTGGATTTGTCAATTGTTGTTAGGGTGTGAGTGATTTGTGAGTGGTAGATTCTAGGGTAAAAGTAGAAAGGTATAAGGGAGGTATTGACACCAATATGAATAGGACCAATGTGTAATTTCATATACAACCAAGACCGTGTTGAACGTGACTGTATGCTACAAGTAATTTCGTTAGGGTTAGAGGGACAGCACATACATTCATTACTTAACAGTGATACAGTAGGCATTATAATCATATTAAAAACTTTAATAAAACCAGAAAAATAAATGGTTCGCCTAAAAGCAACTTTTGTTACCCAACCAATCAAATACATGTCTGTATTTGTGGTCTACTCAATTACATATGTAAAGATGAGAATATTTCTAGATAGATGATTTTTCTTTATGTGTATGAGTTTTTACCTGCAAATGTCTGTGTACCATGGGTGTACCTGTTGTCCACAGTGGTCAGAAGAGGATATCAGTTCCCTTGAAAGTGGAGTTATGGATGGTTATAAGCCACTATGTGTGTGTTCTTAATTGCTGAGCCATCTCTCTAGCCTTTGTCACTTTTATTAGATATCTTGTGCATTAAAGAACCAGCACAAAGGAGCTACCTTTTAAATTCTTTCTACCTCCTTTCCCACACACTTACCTGAGCATTGGCTAGTAGTGGGTTTAAGGGTTCATGGATCTGTTGAGGAACAAGCCTGAGATCCATTAGAAAGTAGTTCGTTCTACAGCATTCATTCCACTATTGCACCAGAAAAGATTGTTGCAAAAGAAAAGTCTTTTACATAATAGTGATAGCATAAGTAAAGTAATGGGGAAAAAATACTCTTTTGACTCTAATCATGTTAATAACATTTGTGAAAATTACTTGATCAGGAAAGGAATGGAGGGCTAGACTGTAGTAAAATAACGTGTGAATGTGAGGAGTTGGGCAATTATCTGAAAGCTTAAATGTGTTAAGTGGTAATATAGACCTAGCATATTTGAATGTTAACAGCATGCCATATAGAGGAGAATAAACAGCTGAAGAGAGAAAATGTCATAGGGCTAGCTGAACTCTGTAATATGGGAGAATATAGTGTTCTAATTGTCTTCTGATAGAGTATTAAAATATTTAAAGAAGTTTTTTTTTAATAATTTGCTCTCTTAGAGTGATATTCATACTATTACAAGGTCTACCTGAGGCCTTTTGCCTTTCTTGTCTGACTTGTCCATTAACTTTCTGTTCTAGTCTTTAACTGTTTTTCTAGCTTTTCCCAACCTACAAATTTACCTAGTCATGGACACTGTTATTATTATTTAGAGAATCTGTTAATAAGACCATGTAGAATATCCATATTAAGGCCAACCTGGCATGTTATCTAGGTATCAGATTACTGGTATTTATTATTAGTTTATGTGGTTAATTAAATAACATTTCCTGCATTAAATCTATCCCAATCTTACCAAGTCTAAGTTTCCCTTAAATTTGTTTGGCTATCTTGTTGCTCCTTCCTCTACCCCCCTTGTGCTGGGATACAGATGTTTGCCACTAAGCCTGGCTCAGTCTATTTTGTATTTCATTAGTAAGAGTAAAATGTCCCCTTCTAATTCTAAGGTTGACTTAGATTGTTTGTGGGGTTCTCAATAGGAGATTGTTTGCTGTTGGACATCTTCCTGGTAGGTATTTTCAGTATGACATATAAAAAGAGCTAAAGGAAAGTTTACAGAGCCTGAAAACTACTTAACAGATTAATATAAATCATTTGTGTCTAAGATTTTACTTCATCTAATAGGGAAGAAAAAGTTTCATTGTAACCTTTTTTCCTTTTCCCCTGTTAAGGACACAGAGATAGTATGGATTTACAGAGGTTTAAAGAAACATCAAACAGAATAAAAGAACTGTTATCCGTAAGTGACACTTTTAAATGTCAGCACAATTAAATGTGATTTCACTTTTTTGATCATTTCTTCTAAATAGAACTAAACTTTTCAGTAAAAAGTAGGTTAGCAGAGATTGTTTTTAGTATGATTATCATACACTTGAAACTATCAGATACCTGAAACTGTTATCATTATATGATTACCCCAGATACCTGAAACTGTTAGGCTTCAAAGAGAAACATGAAAAAGTTCAAATTAGCTTGCATTTTTGTTAACTAAAATGTTTAACAGTTTTTTAAAAAGAGCGTTTCCCTGTTCATTTTCTATGGAGTTATTACTGAGCTTAACTTTTCTTCAAGGACCCAAAGTTTATTAGAACACGATTGTTCCTTTCAAAGAACTTGGAATCTAGAAGTTAAAAGGCTATATATGATGTACATAGATAGAGTATTAAATAAATTCCAATGACATCTAATGAATGAATGGAACAAATGGCAAAAAACAAAAAGATGTATTTCTTGCCTGAAAAGTAGTTTTTATTTCTTTTGCTTTCATAAATTGCCCATAGCTACTCATCACCTCAAGAACAGTGATGTAGCAACACCGTGAGTTATTTGAAGTGTTTGAACTGTTCTGTCCCTTAAAGAACTTACATTTTAGAAATGGTCAAATAACAAATACAGGAAACAGGATTTGTTCCTAAAGATACAGAAATATAATAACTAACATGCCTTCTGAGTCATCACTCATATGACCCAGAGTTAACTGTGTCATTGCTGTCAGGCATATGTAAAAGGCAGGCTCAGGTGCATTGTACTAAAATGATGCACATAGTAAGTATCTAGTGGGTAGATGTTGTCAACTCATAATTTAATTGGTGAATATATGCAAATTGAGAGTGATGAGTCTATCTTCTGTTTGCCTTAAAGTATGAAAATAGTTGTATGATTTTCTTGCTTCAAAAGAACAGCAGGTTGATATATAAAACATGATCGTAGGGTATTCATAGGTGCCTAAATACCCAGTAAACATCTCATTAGTGTGTGGGAGTTAGAAGATGAGCTTAGCATCCACATAGCCTTTAAAGGAGGTGCTCGTAAGTTTAGTGTTCCAGTCCTGACACTGTTCTTTATCCACAGTCCCTCCTCACTCCATTTTACATCTTAGTGGGATTTCTGAGACAGTCTAAATCTAAATCCTTATCTGCCTTGCCTCTCCTTTCCAAGAATGGGATTGTAGGCATGTGCTATTACATTCAGCTTCTTTGCACAGTATTTTCTATTCATTTTAGTTCTGTTGGCATACTTGTAAAGTTCTGAATATTTTCATTACATATGATAATTTTGAAGAAGAAAGCTAGATAAGTAGGTTGGATGCATTTTAGCTGGCACATCATACATGATAATGAAGTGGAGTTTTTTTAGGTAAATGAAGTACTCTGGATATCCTTAAGTCTTAGGAAAGCTGATTTTAAATTAGCATATTTTTATCATATTTTCATATTTCCAGTATATTGTATATTTTGAAAAGTGTGCAACATCAAAGCCAGAGATGCTTAGTTTTTTTTTTAAGTTTTTACTTATTTATTTATTTATTAAAGATTTCTGTCTCTTCCTCGCCACCGCCTCCCATTTCCCTCCCCCAGCTAAGTCCCCTCCCTCGTCAGCCCAAAGAGCAATCAGGGTTCCCTGCCCTGTGGGAAGTCCAATGACCACCCACCTCCATCCAGGTCTAGTAAGGTGAGCATCCAAACTGCCTAGGCTCCCACAAAGCCAGTACATGCAGTAGAATCAAAAACCCATTGCCATTGTTCTTGAGGTCTCAGTAGTCCTCATTGTCCGCTATGTTCAACAAGACCGGTTTTATCCCAGGCTTTTTCAGGCCCAGGCCAGCTGGCCTTGGTGAGTTCCCGATAGAACCATCCCCATTGTCTCAGTGTGTGGGTGCACCCCTCGCGGTCCTGAGTTCCTTGCTTGTGCTCTCTCTCCTTCTGCTCCTGATTTGGACTTTGAGATTTCAGTCCGGTGCTCCAATGTGGGTCTCTGTCTCTGTCTCCTTTCATCGCCTGATGAAGGTTAATAT